GTTTTTAATCCTATATTATAAACCACCCAGAGTCTCAGGAGTTGGACAGCATATAAAGATGTGTGTGTGTGTGTGTTTGTGTGTGTACAGTGTATACACACACACACACACACACACACATTGGAAAAGTAGCATTTAACAGAAATCAGCTGAAGTTAGCTGCTGTTTATTCTTCAGTTATTCTAACTGAATTTAGATCTATGTAGATGGAAATATAGAGGGAATTAGTTATACATTAAGATCATACAAGAGTTTTGATTTTTCTTTCATTCATTTCAGATTACCTACAAGGCTGTTGGATCTCTAGATCCTACTGCTGACTTGTTGAACCAGAGAGGAAAAGTCTTCAAACTAAGGAATGAAACTCACCATCTCTTTGTAGGGTTATACCCAGGAACTACCTATTCATTCACCATTAAAGCCAGCACAGTAAAGGGCTTTGGACCTCCCATCACCACACGGATTGCAACTAAAATTTCAGGTACTGTTAAGGGGGAAAAGGCATGCTGAGAAAATTCAGTTCTGGCTTTGAATTTGGTAGACAGAGATAAAATAATTAGCGTTCTGTTAAAGCTAAAGCAGTTAGCATCCTGGGCAACGTTTTTAAAAAGTGTTCCTATAGGGAAAAGAACTTGTCAGATTCCTCATTAAACAGTGATACAACCCAATCATTTACTATTGTGCACTGTAATAAGTAAAAGACTAAAGAATAGGATTTATGGACGTAGTGGGTGGGGCTTTTTGATTTGTTTTGTTTCCACTTAAGCATTGCTTTCTGGAGCTCTTTAATTTTAAGTAACTCAGAAATTAATCTAGAATGATGCAAAACATTCCCTCCACTACTGAGCTTTGTCCTGTCCAACTTTTAATCTGCAGATGCACCTAGCAACAAAAATCTCTATAATTTATATCTGAGTTATGCTCTGCAAATATTTTCATATTCACATATAAAGAAATTATAGTACTGCCATCATATAACACATTATCTTTTTTGCTTTAATATAAATAAGGGGTCAATATTTATTCATTTAGATTTTGGAATCATTGATACCCAGTACTGAGATTCCAGGAAAATGAGCTTAATTCCTTTTGTCAACTTCACGCTTTGTGTTAAAGCATATGATTTGTTTATTTTGGGCTTAGGGCAATGCATGAATGGGGTCTGCTCACATGGACCATTGCATTTCCTTGGTAACAGCTTCTTGCAGAAGACAGCTGTAAGTCAAGATCTGAAATTGGAAAGGGAGCAGAATATAAACATTTCCTTTAAAAATATTGTAAAGGAAACTTATTAGAATTCATCCAATCATAGCATTGTCTAGGTACTATGAAACAATAGCAGATATGCACATATGTTCTTTAAACTAGAGTAATAAGGTTGAGACCAAGAGATACTTAATCAAACCTAAAGGAACACCAAGACAAAAATAGCAAGAAAATCAGTTCTTCCTAACTGGGTTAAAATTTTAACCAAAAGTTCACTGCCATGAAAGAATAAACAGCATCAAACAGCATCTTGTATTTGATCCCCTTCTACCTCTTGATGTCCAGAAACATAAATATTTCTGTTGCTCCACAGCCCCATCAATGCCAGAATATGATACTGACTCCCCTCTGAATGAAACAGAGACCACCATCACAGTCATGCTGAAGCCTGCACAGTCTCGTGGTGCACCGGTCAGGTAATGTTCTTTTCTCCTTGTTTAGTCTCTCTCCTTTTTCAAAGATGCCATGACACATGTTATTCCATATTTCTAGATTATGTAAAGGGAGAATTATAACAAAATAATAAAATAAGGAAAGCTACAATAACATCATTATCTCAGTGGACCATTGTAGCAGAAAAAGATACCGAACAAGTATCTCTAAAAATAAAATGCTGCAATTGATGGTGATTGCTCTGTTTTTGGTTCAAAAGGCTCAAAATTCTATGATCTCTGGGGCATAAAAATGTGAAAGAGTTCTCCATGGGTTCCTCTGGGAGCTAATTTAGGCATTCTGCTCTGTCTGAACTTCATAGCAGAATGAATGCTAGCATCAAACAATTTCTGCTAATATTCATCTTTCCCCATCAAAAAGTTACACCAAAAAAAAATGCATCTGAAAAAAAGTGCTATTGAAAGTTGTGGGCAAACAGCTGTGATTTAGCTATGCTAATCTTTGAAGGGGCACTTAACTTTGACTGAAACTTTGTTGAACTGATCCTTTGAAGCATGGCTATGAAGTTGTACCCTGCTTTTAAAGGTTGGAGTTGAACGGCTACCCTTCTTAACTTTGAGCAAATAAAACTGTCTACAGAGAGTTGGCTAGTGACTCTGTTTAAGGTGACTTGGCCCCTAAACAGATGGGGTGGGGGAGCAGGTGAACATATGTGGTGTCACTGTGAAGATTATTTAAGGCATCCATCAGATACAGCCACTCAGCTATGTCTGAGTTGGACTCCAGTTGTACAGGTCCTTTGGAGCTGATGGAGGCACAATCTATCTTGGTTATCAAGGAATTCTGTTAGTCCCTTTTAGGTAAGGTTGTTGTTAAGGTGATCAATTTTCAGCTCCAGGAGGCTCTGGAAGAAACAGACTATCTGGACTGATTTCAGATTGGTTTCATACTGGAATATAGTACTGAAATAGTATTGATCACCCTTGTAGATGACCTTTGGTAGGACTACTGGGATGGAGGTTGTATATCTATCCTGGCCCTCTCTGCTTTCTCAGTGGCCTACAATACATAGAATCCTTCTGGAGTGACTTTGAGTATTAAGAATAGGGTGCATGATGTTCTAATGGTTCTGCCCTTCATCCAGAGCTGGCTCCAGGTGGTGTTGGTAGAGGGAACAGGTCTAACTCTAGACAATTGCTTTACATTGTTCTTCAGGGTTCCATACTCTCTACACTCCTATTTAATGTCTACATGAGGACTCTGGGTGAGGTTAACTGCCATCATGTATTGTCAATACACTAATGATATTCAGGTATACATCTCTACCCTGGCTGACCGAGTGATGGCATCAAGGCTCTTTCCCAGTGTTTACAGCTCTGGGGATCTGGATGGGGAAGAGCAGGCTTTGACTTAACCAAAGTGACACCGAGTGCCTGTAGGTTTGGGGGGCCCTTGGTTCTGGAGACATTTAGTTCTATATGGGTATACTTCCTTAGGTAGAACTGGTGTACAATTTACAGGTTATCTTGGACTCTTGGTTCCTGCTTGAAAAGCCAAAAGGACCTTTGCACATATATATTTTGTGCACCAATTGTAACCATATCTGGATCAGGAGGCCCTGCTCATGGTCACTACCCCCTTGGACTATTGCTACATGTTCTACTCGGGGCTTCCCTTGAAGTTACAATTAGTCCAGAATGCAGTTGCTTGGATAGTTGTGAATGCACTATAGTATATCCATATAGTGCCACTAGTGTGCAAGCTGCATAGGCTTCCAATAGGCTTCTGTACAATTCAAGATGCCTGTTGCCTTCTGAAAAACCCTTCATGGCACAGGGCTGGTTTATTTGAGGGACTGTGCCTATCTCTATTTCTGCCATCCCACAAGTTCCAACAGGGTGGACATGCTTTGGGTTTGCTCCATGAAACAATAGAGAGCAGATCACCTAGCAAGATGCTGGAATTGTACCTTCTCTGTTATAGCTTCTGTTATTTGGGACAGCATATCCCACAAGATTTGGATGGCCCTGATTCTGTTGGCCTTGAAAACTTGGTTTTTCATCCAAACATTGGGACAGAACATTGAATGGGCCTGCCCTGAAATGGTTTGGGAAATGTTCATTTGATTGCAGTTTGGCTTCAGTTGTGTTTTTTGTAGTTTTTATATTTATCAGTTATTTTGTTTTGTTCTTTTAATCCTATGTCAACCACCCAGGGTCAAAATTTGTGAATTAGGCAACCTTAAATGTAATATGGATGGGTGGATTGAGGGATGGAGGGATGGAGGGATAAAGGGATGGATGGATAGCCATTTTTTTTTCATCAGCTGGTAACACTCTGCAGAAAGAAGGCAGCAATGTTGGAGGACTCAGCTCTTGTCTAACACGTGTTGCACATGCATAATTGCTACCATTCACTGGTGCAATTACAGATGCAACAGAGGCAAGTAGGAAACATCAAGGGATAGCAAATGTCATGCCAATGTAGTTTTTTGCAAATTAAAGGATGAGTGGAAAGCACTTTAAGTGAGCAGTGCAGTCTTTATCTGTTCTAACACGAGGTTATAAAATTTAATGGTGTCGCTGCTACAAGTGTTTCTAGTTTCCTGACTGACCTAGTACAAAATATGCACCCATCAGTAATAAAGCTGTTGCCTTGCTCGACTAATGAAAATATACTAGTAGTCCAGTTGTTAGCTGTAACTGAGTTAACATAGTGTATGTTTTGCATCTAAGATGCTGGTTCCAGGATGCATCTAAAAAATTATCCTTCAAATTTCATCTAAGGTCAATATATGCATGTTTAGGTTTGGTAGATATTGGGATACTTGTTCTATGACAATAGTCCAAATATGTACAGAATTTCACCAAAAGCAAAAATCTTCACCAAAAATTTTGCATTATATATTTTCAGTTCATCGGTAATATTATGCATTGGTTGACATCAGTGTTTCATTATCCAAGTAAAAATGAAGGAAAATGCTTGTTTGGGATAGGATGAAGAGAAGAAATGAACAAGCTTGCTGGTTACTCCCAAATGATTTGCTCTGTATCGGTCTGTAAGAATTCATATCAATCATCAGAATATGAATTTCTTATTAAGATGGCAGTAATGGTAGATCAGCTTATCATACTTAGGAAGAGACTAGTAACATTTAAGCATTTCAGATTTTTAATATAAAGGAAGTTATTTAATCAAGTGATTATCACTTTCCCAGTTAAGTTAACAGATATAGTGTGGATAGTCTAACTTTGCCTAGATTATGCCCCATGTAAATCCCACAGGACTTAAATCTTTAGAATGAAATGTTTATAATAGAAATATGTTTGGATTTCAGTGATGCGTGTGGACTCCAAAAGTAACTAGTTAACTTCCTCTCATATTTCTTTAAAACAAAAGCCTTCCCTACTTCTGGCTTTTTCATGAATAAATGACCAAGTACAGACTGAGATGATGGAAAGTAAGCAATCATTCATTTCTTATTTTGGAATATGAATGAGAAAGCTTAATTTATCACTCAACTCTGTCAGTTCTATTAAAACTAACATACCAATTTTTGCTTGTATTGTGTTTGTGTTTGTCCATTAGCAGACTATATAGGGTGATTACTATATGCTGTTGGAGTCCAGAATATGCTGTGTTATATATTATAGATATTTTTTTCTAAGTCTCCTGCTGAGTTAAGTTTTGCTGTTTTTTTCTTTTTTTATTGAACAGTCTTAAAAACAAAAACAAAAAACAAAATTAAGCTCTCCCCTGCAAATCAATAAATATTTATCAAAAACTGAGTCCATTGTGAAAATCTTTCTGAAAACATTATTTCTTTACAGTTTCTTCTATAGAAATAATTGAAAAGTCACATGCAAATACATACAAACATACTGTGTCCAACATGTGATAAGCCTATTATAATGATGGGGTTTTTCCCAGACAGGTCTCAGTTGCAAAGTCAACATGAGCTTTCCTTTGTCTTGAGTTCCCCCCAAATTGGATTCCACATGGTCTTTCATTACATCAACTTTCCATTCATTCTATTAGGAGATCTGTTGATCTGCTAATACTTTTTTTATATAGGATTTGTACTTTCTCTTCCTGCAGTCTTCCTTCCTTCCTTCCTTCCTTCCTTCCTTCCTTCCTTCCTTCCATCCATCCATCCATCCATCCATCCATCCACTGTTGGTTATACAAAAAAATGGAGTGTTAAACATTCAGATCTCTCCCAGTTTCTCATCATAAAAGCTCAAAACTCCATCATGTTTTGCATTCATTGCTTTCCCATGTGTACATATGAAGTGACTTAAACCAAGTTTTCAAAACACTTTTTTTTCTCTAAGTGGATGCTAACCAAACAGTCATCAAATTTTTAGGTCTCAAAATAGCTCTTGTCTCATTTCCGCTCATCCACTCACCTTACCTAACAGATTAATATTTTTCCCCTGGATTGCATTTGTTCAGAATGTTGTACATTTTTTTCAAAACACATTCTGTCATTTGGTTTTTCAACTATCATTATTCACTGAAGTGTAACATGCAACTATCACCAAAGTCTGCATTCCTATTTTTCATATATACCCACAACAGTCCAGACAACACCAGTTCATACTTTTTTACACATATTTTAGCCCTTTTATCTTTAATTAAACCTATACTGTCATTTTCCTGCATGCATTCATCAACATCATTCCACAAGATCAGGCTATTTTCATTCAGATTATTACATCCTCCACTTTCCAGACATAAATGTACCTATTTTCCTTTATTTTTGTTCACTCATTCATGTTAATTACCATTTACTCCTCTTATATTCCAAGTCAAAATCTTCCACATGCTGAAGATCTGCTGAAAGATTTTTTACCCTAACTGCCAATCACAGCCTCTGTCTATTGAGATTTGATAAAAAAAAAA